CCTCATGACGTGCCCAATCCATCTCCGTCACCTTCGCATGATGATGGTCTCCATGCTGTCTTGATTGCAGCGGGTGATCAGCTGTTGGTTGGAGATAGTGTCAGGCCAAAAGACTAGCAGGATTCGCTTGAGGTTCTTTGCGTGCAAGACTGACAGCCTGGTAATGATGCTCTCTGTTATCCTCCAGCATTCAGAGCCGTATAGTAGGGTGAACATCATACAGCTTTAATAGATCTTGAGCTTGGTCTTGGTGCTTTACTGAGAAGACCTCCACACGTTGTTGAGCATCGTGAGGGCGTTTCTAGCCTTGTTGAGACGGTTCTTAATGTCACCCCTGTTCCTACATCATACCTTACTGTGCCACCCAGGTAAATAAACTCTTGAGTTATTGGGAGGTTTTCTCAGTTCACTTGAACTAGTTTAGGGTTGGACACGTTCTGCATCATCACTTCTGTCTCCTTTCGGCTGATCTTCAGGCCAACTCGCTGTGTGTAAGTGCTGAGTCGGGACGTCTTTTCGTGCACGTGTTGGTGAGTACGGGAGACCAAGGCTAGATCATCTAGAAAATCTTGGTCCTCAAGCGTTGGTAAAAGGGTCCATCTGACGCCTTGTGACTGATCGACTGTTGTGCGCCTCATTACCCAGTCGATGGTACAGCCTTGTCTGACGCCAGACCTTACTTCAAAGCCGGTTTTCCTATTGGCTACTCTGCATGTGAAGTTGTTTAAGAAGCTTTTGGTGATGTCGATAATCTGTTATGGTATCCAATAGGCCCGAAGAATATACCACAGACTTTCCCGGTGCACGCTGGCAAAAGTCTTCTCAAAGTCTACAAAGTTGACGTAGATTTGTGTCTGCCACTCTGTGCACTGTTCTATGATGTTACGCAGGGTAACGATCTGGTGTGGGCATCCCTTTCTTTTCCGAAACCCTGCCTGCTTTCTTGTGAATTATCGGTCCACTGTGTTGGCTATTCGCTGGATGATGATTATGGCCAGGATCTTGCTGGGTACAGATAGTAAGGTAATTCCTCGCCAGTTGTTGCAGTTGTTGAGGGCATTGAAAATCAAAGGCGGTGCAGATGTCCAGTAGCCTCTCTCCATTGTCATTCATGATGCCACATCCTTCTCTCCCCATACCCTTTCGTAGTTCGTTTTGTCATTCCCAACATTTACCCCAAAATTTCGCATCAAAGTTTTCATCTCAAGACGTAGCGTGTTTTCTAGGTCTGCTTGAAGCGGTTTGTGAAGGTGTCCTTGCTGTCCTTCTTACTGTCGTTTGTTGGTGCGTAACACTGGATGATAGTTGTGTTAATGTGTCTCCCTTTCAATCTCACTTTTATGAGCCTGCTGTTGATTAGCTTCCACTCCATCAGGCACTTCTTGCGACCTTTCTTGAAGATGATGACTAGTCTCTTATGGTGCTGGTCATCTGCTCCAGAATATAGCACTGTCTCTCCTGTGTTGGATTTGTGTCTACCTAAACCTGCCCATCTGCTCGCACTGATTCCAAGTAAGTGTAGGTTGTAACGTCTCACGTCTGCTTTGGATTGTACCGGCTTTCCTTTCTCGTAGATAGTTTTTACATTCCAGAATCCAATTCTCGTCTTCCATTTGGCGCTCAAAACTTTCATCTTCCTATCAGCAGTTTCCTTTGGGCTTTCACCACTGTCATTCATACGAGATCTTTGGATGACTCTGAAAATCCATCTTGCTCAGTAGTGTTGATTTTCTTTGTTACCGTTTTTCTTTTTTCGTTTCCGTTTGAATTTTCAGCCCTGTGCCCAGCCCCTATCTTTTGCACTGAATTAAGATTTTGGCTTGTTTGCAGCTAATAACACTGATTCGAGCTATGTCTCACTCAAAAAACTCTTTCTTTTGTTTTGGTGCTAAATTTCGCTGTTTTCAGCTTTTTGTACTGAGAGAGAGGTTTTTCGCCTGTTCGCAGCGAATCACATTCAGGCCATATCTCGCTCAAGAGAACGTCTCTGCTGTTTTATAAAGAAGAGAAAAGTTTTCACCTGTTTGAAGCTAATCACGTTGTTCTAGGCTAGGTCTCACTCATAAAAATAATTTTTTCTTCTTGGCTGCTAAATTACGCCTTTTACAGCTCTGTCTTGCCGTAAACCTTTCTATGTGCTGGTTTCTTGTTGTTACGCTGTCTTTACCTTCCTTACACTAACACTGGTTTTCTAGTCCATTTATAGGTGATTAATTATCTCAGCTAAAACAAAGTTTTTTCCTTTTTCTTGCTAAACTACGCTATTTTTTTGCACTGAATTTTGCACTGAATAAGGACTCATAATTGGCAGCTATGTATTTCAAAAAAAAAAACGTTTTCCGTTGTTTTGTGCAAGTTTCCACTTTTTAAAGCTTTTTTGCACTGGAGAAAGGTTTTTAGCTTGTTTTCAGCTAATCACGCTGAAATTCATGTCGCTCATATGTATGGCTAAAAAAAAACGTTTTTTCCCGTTGTTTTGTTTCTAGTTTTATTGCACCGAAAGGAGCTTTTCCAAAATTAATTTCAGCTTTATCGCGCTCAAAAGAAGGACTTTTTTTTCCAGAAAGAAAAAGGTTTTTTTCCAGTAAGATAAAGGTAAAATAAGCATGATGAGCTGCCGATATGGGAAAACAATTATTTCAGTGCGATACAGCGCTTTGGTGTGATAAGGTTAAAGACAGGATAATTTAGCAACAAAAGAGCCAGACCGTTGTTTTTTTCCATCACATAAAGCTCTAAACAGCCAATTGAGCCAACTCACCTAGTTTCTGCAAGTTTTTTAGTTTCATTGTATTCGCTAAGTTGATTTTTTAACCGGTTAAACTATTTAAGCTAGTTACTTCGCGTCCAATTAAACTCTAACCCTAAGTTAGTTTGACTATTTTACAACTTGAACCAATGAAAATAGTTGGTCCAGTTTGTTCATTTTGACTGTGTTCACTTGTTTGACTCTTTAATCAGTTGTATCAATTTACCTAGTTTGACCATTTTAACTACTGGATTCAGTTACGACATTGCACAGATTGTACAGTTCAATCATTTGAGCAAGGCATGCATCCTGTTCAACTGAACCATTAAAGGTAGGTATGCACTTTGTCCGGTTAAACCATTAAGGCTAGTGTCATTTAATGATCTTAACCAATTAAGATACCTTAATATTAAGAGTGGCTCAACTCTCCTCGCCAGTTTGACTCCTTAACTTAAAGAAACTAATGAAGCCCTACAACCCTAACCCTAAGCAATTTATGCAGTTCCGCTGTTTTTGCTAGTTTGATTATTTAACCAGGTCAACCAATTGAGCTTTATTGATAAGTTTGTCCAGTTGAAGCTGTTAAGTTGGCTATGCATTTTCTCCCCTGGAACAGTTTAAGGTAGTTTAACCATTTGAACGAGTCTAACCAGTGGAAAGAGATTTCACAAATTTTGCAGGATTACTGTTTTTTCTGCACAATGTACACAACCTACGTCAAAAGGTTAAACTAGACAAATGGTCAATCAAGCTTAAACTGTTCACGTAGACAAAACGTATAGTTATGCATTTCGTGCGTTTAAACAATTTAAGCTTAAATGATGATTTTAGATACATGAAATTCATATATTTGCACTGCGGTAAAGAAATGAAATTAAGAGATCCTCGCAGCTAAGAACACTACTGAAACGAGTAGTTGAAAATAGGACCTGAAAAAAATTCAGGCCTCCTCGGGACTCTAACCCATGACCTCTGCGATAGCGGTGCAGCGCTCTACCAACTGAGCTAACGAGCCAACTGGAGGCTGGTCAATGTGTTGGGTCCAAATAAACCATCCAAGTGATGAATGATGATTTTAAATATATGAAAGTCATATATTTGCACTACACAATCTAGCCTTAGTGGTCGAAGTAGTTGACGTGGTCAAAATAGCTTATTGACTTCCATTTGAAACAATGGTTAACTAGCCTAATCAGTTCAATTTCACAGCCTGGACAATTTAGCTGAAATAGTTAACCTGGTTTAACAGTCAAACTGACGTCACCTGAGAAATATTGCACAACCTATCTCAACTGGTTATAGTTCTTTAAACGGTCAGAACCACCGAGACAGTCAAACTGCACAAATTTCACAATCTTTTTTTGTTAAATGGCCATACTAGCTTTAATGGTTCAACTAAACAAAATACATAACCAGCTCAAATGGTTCAACTGGTGAAATAGACGGACGGAAAAATCTAACCCAAGTGGTCTAAGAACTCAAAATAGTCAAACTAATTTGGTTGGTTCTATTTACATCGTCAGTCTAGCTGAAATGACACAATGCCTAACGCTGAAATGGTTTAATTTGATGAATGGCGTAGATGACTAAATCAGTTCAACTGCACAAACTTCACAAGCTGGCTCCAATGCTTCGTGTGCTTAAATAGGCAAAGAAGTAGACACAAATAAACTGTAAAAATTGCAATAGTTCATATGGTCAAAGTAGCCTAAATAGTTATATGATACCCACTGATAAGAGAGCACAACTTATCCGTTATCAGGATATGTTTACTGCTAGCCATATTAATAAAAGTAGCAGAAGCTATGAGGTTAGGAAGTCCTTTAACAATCAAACCAACAAGTACGCAGGTACCGTAAGTTTCTTATTAAAGCAAAACATAAAAGACAACCAAAGGAAAAGGACTATTGTTCAACAAAACTCGCTATTTAACCGAGTCCCTCTGGTGAGTGTAAATTTGTAAATAAAGCATTGTCCAATTGTGACATTATTGACTGGGTAGAGTGAATGGGGATAAAACATTTTATGGGTTTGTTTTTTAGTGATCATATAAGTGATAAACATATTTGAGCCCGAAACTCTTGGAAACTTGCGGAAAGATTTCATTTATAGAAGAGGAACAAAGATGAAGGAGTAAGCATTTTGTCTTACGTGGAGCATGCGAGACACTGTAATAATGGCGGGAATCTGAACGAAGTACTACGAGATAGACTGGTCTGTGGACTCTGAAATACGCAGATCTAAAGCAGCAATGGAAACTTCCATCGGCGATGCTTCAGCATTACAAAGTGAGCTCAACTCCAACCCAGTCCTTCGCGTTGACAAGTTGACTGAACAAAACAAACCAACATTAACCAAACTGGCAATAACACCCCATTGCTACCGCTGTGGTGGGAACAAACATATGACACACAATCGCTCATACAAACACTAGATTTGCTACCACTGTTGAAAATAGGGCCACATTCAGTGGGTTTGTTGTTCCAAATAGCAAGGAAAGCCTAAGAAAGCAACCAAAACCCTGAGTTACATGCTGTTGAGGTTGAAGTTGATGCTTATGAAGACAATGATGTTATTTGCGTTGATTTGGATGTTGATGGTAAACCACCTAAGATAGAACTGGACTCAGGTTGGGCTGTGTCAATCTTCTCGTTTGACCTCTACCAGCAGAAATTTAACAGGCCTACCCTGAAAACCTACAGTGGGGAAAACATTGTGCCAGTGGGAGTGCTCAAAATACCCGTGGATTACCAAACCCAAAGAGAGCTGCTAGACCTGTATGTTGTGAAGAATAAACGTCCTTCTTTCTTGGGAAAAGATTGGCTCTCCACGATACGCCTAGCCTGGTGTTCTATCAAGTTGCTGCAGGCTTCACTAGCTACTTTAAGTCCCGGAGAGCGTTTGAACGTTATGCTAAACAAGTACTCAGATATTTTTGAAAAAAACTGGGCATCTTTACATCAGCTAATGCGAAGTTAACTCTTAAAGACGGTAGCCAAGCACGCTTTCTTAAGGCCAAACTGATGCCGTATGCATTTAAGCCAAAGGTGGAGGAAGAGCTGCGAAGACTCCAGAAGGAAGATATTCTCACTAGAGTGGAGTGGAGTGAATGGGCCACACTGTTCCCAGCCATGGTCTCCACAGGTCGCCAGAGAAAGAGGAAACAGTTTTGAGAGGGCCTCGCCGGTGCTAGTCAATTACTACAGCAGATTCTTGCCCAATCTGTCAGCAGTTTTACATCCTTTAAAGCAGTTGTTAGAGAACAACCATCACTAGAAATCGACGGAACAATGCGAACAGCATTCCACAACCTGAAAGAAATGATCACCTCAGAGCAAGTATTAACACAATATGATCCCACTCTGCCTCAGAGGCTTCTTTGTGAGGTATCCCCTGTGGGAATTGGTGCCGTGTCTTCCCACGTGGTGAATGATGGGACTGAGCAACCCATTGCTTTTGCTTCTAGAACACTCAGAAAAACTGAGCAAGGGTAGGCACAAACTGACAAAGAAGCCTTAGCAATAATCTGGGAAGTCAAGAAGTTCCATGTGTATTTGTTTGGCCGATCTTTCACCCTGTACACATCCATCTTCCATCCACACAAGAGCATTCCAGTGGTTACAGCAGCCAGGCTTCAGCACTATGCATTATTCCTGCCTGGCTATGATCACCAAATCGCGTATGTACTAAAGTGCATAGTAATGCAGGTGGTCTTTCTCTGCAACTTAAAACTAAAGAAAGAGGTGAAGAAGTTGTGGATCCAGTGAATGTCTTCAATATGATACAGTTTTAGCCGTTACCAATCACATTTGACAACGTCCAAAGAGAAACCTAAAGGGACCCTGTCTTGAGTCAAGTACATGAGATGGTGACTAAAGGATGGCTAAGCAGCCATGCTCCTATACTCGACCCCTTCTACGCTCGAAGGGATGAGATAACGGTACACTCAGGCTGTTTGATGTGGGGAGTCAGAGTTATTGTAGCCCCAAAACTTCGTCTATAAGTTCTTCACGAACTCCATCAAGGACATCTTGGAGTGGTGAAGATGAAGGCCCTACCAAGAAGATACATCTGGTTGCCAGGAATTGACATGGAAATCAAAGAAGCCGAAAGGACCTGCTCAGGTTGCCAGCTGATACAGGCTTAACCTAGTACGGCACCTGTACATCCATGGAAATGGTCGTCGGCACCTTTGCAGCGAGTCCATGTTGATTTTGTTGTACCTTTCCTTGGCTGCATTTCCTTGGCTGCTGGAATTAGAGAAAATGGACATCATGACCTCAACGAAAACCATGAGAAACTGCATAGTTTATTTGGGAGTTGTGGTGTGCCATCGTAGTTAGTAACAATGGATTTACGAACTTTGAATTGACATTAAGACTGTGCTTTTTTCAATAGGCTTGTTGTGTTTGATTTAACGTTTCAGATCCTCATTAGTTACTACATTGCATGCATAAGCTAGTGGGGAGGAGTTGTGGTGTTTTGGCCAGCGGCCAATACACTTTGAACATGGGCAGTTATGCGCTATTCTAAAACGCGTCCCTTCGAATCAAAGATACGAGAGAGGGGACACCGGAGCGCGAAGACCTAACGGTGATGAAGGTGATACCGGACGTCAGGGGCCATGTGGCAGTGGTGATCTGCAGACCTTTCAACTGTTTTATTATTTTATGGAACTTAGATAATGACAGGTACTTTCCATAAGAACAGTGAAAAGGTTGTTAAAGATTTCAAAAAGAAGATCGAATTATGTCAATTTGCTTTTATTATCTATATAAAGACACATTAAGGTTCTTTTTAAGAGGAGTCACATTTGATAAGGAGAGTTATTTGAACCAACTGAACACTGTAGAACATATCATCATAGACATGAGTGCATTGGCCGATACTTTTGAGCAACAGTACGTGAAGTAATTGTGCTTAATTATTTATTAAGTATTTTGTTTTGGTCATTACTAATTAGTTTCAATATATTGTTCCAGTAGCTGTGATAATATTAAAGGGTTTTCTTTGATTTGATTATTTTTATGTTATCTACATTCATTTGCATATCAATTGATACCACAATAAAATTGATATTAATCATCTGTTTTCTATAACCATTAAACTGTGATAATACATTGTCTATCTTTTCAGAGACTGCTATTATCTTATTTTTGTTCTTTGTCGTTATTATTATGTCATACTATTTGGTTAAATTAAATATTACTTTATTAAGATAGTATTTCCTAAAATATATTGACCGAGGAATTATTTTATAATTGTTATCATGGAGGCTGCAAAATTCTTTCATTAGTTTATAGCCGTCTACTTGCCTACAATTGGCGCACACAATCACATGGTGGTTATTCTCCAAACATTGTTTCTCCCAATATCTTTCTATTATGACTGATCGCTCCTTCATCTGTTTGTAACAGAAGGGAGATATTACCTTGTCCAATTCATAATGAATTATTTGATTGATATACGTTATATTGTAATATTACATAGATATTATATGTTTAAATATTACCAGGGGTTATCCCTGGTTTCCTTAAATTGTATTTGATATGATGTAATCCCTCTTCTGCTTCTAATATATTGCCATCATTAAAATATCTAGTATATTATGTATAAATATACAATATATATAATATATATCTTATATATTAAGTATGTATAAATATTTTGTATAAATATTCTCTTGGTCATCAAAGTAATAAGCATCATCGTCCAGTTGACTATCGTCTATAAAGCTACTGTCATAACTATCATCTCTATCTGAATAATCGTCGGGACTATCATATACAAAATCACCATCTTAAATAAAGTGTCATAAATAAAGTGTCTTTATTGTTCAAAAGATAAAATTACATATCTTATGTTACATTAAAAAAAGGATGTAAATAAGCTTAGGTGTATCTAAATAAGATAATAACATTGAAGCTTAAAATTGATTAAAATAGCTAATAGAAGAGGAGCCAATATCCTCGTGGCCGCCATACTCGGCGCCTGCGCACTACCCATTACTTGGTCATCCCTTCCTGCACTTTCCTTTAGGTGTCCAGTGAAGGGCTGTGCGAATGACGTTGTCCTGCTCTCTCCTCGTGCAGTGCCCAATCCATCTCTATCGCCTTCGCATGATGATGGTCTCCATGCTGTCTTGACTGCAGCGGGCGAGTAACTGTTGGTGGGAGATGGTGTCAGGTCAAAAGAGGTTCTTTGTGTCGAAGACTGACAGCATGGTGTATTCCTCTCTGTCATCCTCCAGCATTCAGAGCCATAAGGTAGGGTGGACATCACACAGCTTTGATAGATCTTGAGCTTGGTTTTGCTGCTGTCCTGAGAGGACCTCCACACGTTGTTGAGCATTCTGAAGGCGTCTCTGGCATTGTTAAGACGGTTCTTGATTTCACTCCCTGTTCCTCCAATCATGCCTTACTGGGCTGCCCAGGTAAGTGAGCTCTTCAGTTGTTGGCAGGTCTTCTCCGTTCACTCGAACTGGATTAGGATTGAACACGTTCAGCAGTATCACCTTTTGGATCTTCAGGGCCAACTTGATATGCGTAAGTGCTGAGTCGGGTCGTCTTTTCCTGCACGTGTTGGTGATTATGAGACCAAGGCTTGATCATCTGCAAAATCTAGGTCCTCCAGCGTTGGGAAGAGGGTCCATCTGATTCCCGTAGCTAATCTGGTGCGCCTTATTATTACCCAGTCCATGGTCATATTGAAGAGGATCGCTGACATGGTACAGCCTTGTCTGACGCCAGACCTCACTTCAAAGCTGGTTTCGCTGTTAGGTACTCTGCATGTGAAGTTTTGTAGAAGCTTTTGAACATGTCGTTAAAATAGTCAAACTATTTTAATTAATTCGACTAGCTAAATAGTCAAACCAGCTAAGACAGTTAAGCTGCATAGATTGCAATATCTTTGTTAATTGGTTGAAATAGTTCAAATTGTCAAAAAGCTGATATGCCTCAGTGTTTTGCACTGACTTAGGTTTTCGCTTGTTTGCAGCTATATCACACTCTAAATAATTTTTGCTTTTTGCTTCTAAATTACGCTCGTTTCAGCTCTATTGCCCCTAAAACCCTTTTTTTGTGCTAGTTTATTGCTATTACGCTGTTTTCATCTTCCTTGACTGGTTTTCTAGCTTCTTTGCAGCTAGTTGACTGATTTCAGCTTGATCTCACTGAAAACAACGTTTTTGTTGTTTTGTTGTTAAACTGCGCTATTTTTTATGTTTTTGCACTGAGTAACGATTTTTGTTTGATTGCAGCTAATCAAGGTGATTTTAGCTGCATGGTATTCAAAAGAACGTTTCTGTTGTTTTGGTGTTAGATTAATCTGTTTTCAGCTCTTTTGCACTTGAAAAAGGTTTTCGCCTGTTTGCAGTTAATCACGCTGTTTTAAGCTATATCTCACTCCTAATAAACTCCTTTTTCGCTGCTAAATTACGCTCTTTTCAGCTCTATCGCTCCGAAAACCCTTTTTGTGCTTGTTTATTGTTGTTTACGCTATATTTAGCTTTCTTGCACTAAAACTAGTTTTCTTGGCCTGTTTGCAGCTAATTGACTGATTTTACCCTCATCTCACAAAAAACAAAGTTTTTTTGTTTGCTAAATTACGTTTTATGCTTTATTGCCCTATAGAAAGGTTTTTGCTTGTTTGCAGCTGGTCACGCTGATTCTAACTAAATCTCACTAAAAAAAAACGTTTTCGCTGTTTAGTTGCTAAATTACGCCGTTTTCAGCATTTTTTTTGTACCAAAAAAGGGTTGTGCCTGTTTGCAGGTAATCACGCTCATCCTAACTATATCTCACTCAAAGTAACGTTTTTACTGTTTTGTTGCTAAATTGCGCTGTTTTCAGCTTTTCTGCTCCAAAAAAGGTTTCTGCCTGTCTGCAGGTAATCACTGTTTCTAACTAAATCTCACTCAAAGAGATGGTTTCGCTGTTTTTGTTGCTAAATTGCGCTGCTGTCAGCTTTTTGCACTGGAA